GAGGAGGAATGTGGAAGGCCCGCCACAGGGGGCGATTGAGCCGGCTCAGCGGACTGCCCACCCTTCCCTGCCCCGTAATCTCGTTTCCTTCCAAGAGCGGGTTTTATTGACTGCAGCCGTGTAAGTCGCTGTGCGGAGCTGCAGTGGAGTCACATTTAATTCCATTATGCGCCTCTCAGGGCAAGACGGGGACAGCCAGGGAGGCCCTGCCCAGAGAAACCTCTGTAATTACTCACATGTGTCTGGCGTTTGGGAGATGAGCTCAGGCAGCCGCAGTCACTGCGGAGAGCAGCGGGACCCGCGGCTTCCCTGGACTCTGTGGCCGTGTCCCTCCACTTCATCCCCGTACCCCACTTGTCTTTTTTTTTAATATATTGATTTTTTTACAGAGAGGAAAGGAGAGAGACAGAGAGTTAGAAACATCAATGAGAGAGAAACATGGATCAGCTGCCTCCTGCACACCCCCTACTGGGGATGTGCCTGCAACCAAGGTACATGCCCTTGACCGGAATCGAACCTGGGACCCTTCAGTCCGCAGGCCGACGCTCTATCCACTGAGCCAAACCGGTTAGGGCTACCCCACTTGTCTTGACACTCCTGTCTCTGCCTCAGTTTCTTCCAGTGTTTGCCTCTGTCTTTTCACCACTGGGCTGACCCCTGTACCACCAGTAAGACTGATCCTCAGACTGACCTGAGGGAGACAGTCTCCCATGGGAGCAGGAGGACAGTGACTCCTTCTTCCCGATAGGTGAGGGGACGGCATAAGTTTCCAGCAAAAATTAAGAGAATGGAAACCCAGGAACCAGTGCTGTGGGGGCAGGGTTGTGTTTCCCTTGGTCTCTTGGTGAGGGGACGGTGATTTGTTCTTGCAGAGGATTTAACGGTGACACTTCCCATGTGAACTCTGACAACATTCTAAGTCAGAAACCCTGGTCACCTTCCCCGCCCCCGCATCCCCCATCCACCAGCATGGCCTCCCGCCAGATAACCCCTGTGTTCAGCGCTGTCAGAAGACACATTGATGCCTCTTTGTGCCAAAAAGTTGTCATATGGGTGTTTACAAGTGAATTAGCACAGCTTCGTAAGTGATGCCTCTGCGTAACTGCTATAGTCCAACCTGCAGTCATGGCTCAGGCGCTGTCAGCAGAGGAGCCCGCACAGGACTGAGGGGGCCTCGGAGCCAGCCGGCCTCGGCTCCAGTTCTGCTCTCCTGCGTCCTGCAGCCTTTCGAGGCGTCTCCGAGCCTCACTTTCCTCATCTGTACACAGTGGGCACTCAATAACTGCACTCCTCCCTGAACTGCTGAGTCACTTCATGACCTCCAAAGACACAGCTGCCTAAAGACAGGCATGGTCATCAGGAGGTGCCAGGCATCTCTCTTTGACTCCAAATCTGCCCTGTTCCCTTGAGGCCACACAAAGTGCCCACCTCTTCAGAGACGGGTCCCTGGGCAGGGCTGCCACCTGACAGCACCTGGTGGGCCGTGGACCTGGGCACAGCTGAGTGCCTGTGGGGCTCCTGGCTCATCCTGGCTCTGATGAGTGTGTCCTTCTCGGACACAGGCTGAAGGGACTGCAGGAAGGAAGGAAGGGACATTTGTGACACCTTCCATGGCAGGCCCACGGGAATCCTTTCACATTATTTTCTCATTTCCTCTTTGTGCCAGCCCTGGGAGATCGGTATTATTCTTCCTGGTTTACAGATGAGAATATCAAGTTCCGAGAAACCACAATTTTTTTAAAATATATTTTATTGATTTTTTACAGAGGAAGGGAGAGAGATAGAGAGTTAGAAACATCGATGAGAGAGAAACATCGATCAGCCGCCTCCTGCACATCCCCCCCTTGACTGGAATCGAACCTGGGACCCTTGAGTCCGCAGGCAGACGCTCTATCCACTGAGCCAAACCGGTTTCGGCAAGAAACCACAATTTACAAGGCCCCGAGAGGTAGAGCGAGAAGTTGAGCTGAAGTCCTTCCCATGCTGTGTCTTCCTCTGGGGACAGGTGGGAGCGCTCAGCACTGGGCTTCCAGTCCCTTGTTCAGGGCCCTACGCTTCTTGCTCAGCCAGGGCCCTGCTGCAGAACCGCACAGGGCCCCTCGATGCATCTCATCACTGGGCTGCGGCTCAGGATTTCCTCAGCGTTTTGAGCAAGAACAGTTTGGGAGCCTTCACTCTTGTCACTACGTAGAGCCACTCTGGTGATATGCTACCAAGCACTCGCCTTGGTGTTGCTACAAGGAGAGCTGAAATAAGCTGGAGCACTCGGGGTAATAAATACTGATGATTCCTATTAACAGAGAGGCTATTACTGGGCCCAGGGAATCTGGGGCACGTAGCCCTGGGGAGGACAGAAGAAGAGGAATCGTTTTGATAATTAAATGGGAGCAGAACAACACTTTGGCTGGGCTCTGTCTCCTGGACTGATTAAGAAGCTGCTGCTCTTGCTGTCCATGCGGACGGTTTCTTTCTGTCCACATGTCCTTGTCTGGCCCTGGAACCAGGAAGAGGAGGTCCTGCCGAATCTGGGTGGGACAGACGGAGGGCTCCGGTAGCTGCTGGCTTAGATAATGCCAAACGCCCACATGTCCTTGTCTGGCCCTGGGACCAGGAAAAGGTGCCAAATCTGGGTGGGACAGACGAAGGGCTCCGGTAGCTGCTGGCTTAGATAATGCCAAACGCTGCACGTTCACCAGCTGCCCGAGCTCTGTGCAGGAGCCCCTGCAGGCCACGCCTGTAGCTGCCGGATGAGGACAGTGTTGCACCTGTTCCCTAGCCTGACACCTCTCCAAGCCCAGGAGCCACTATCCTGTCCTTCCAGGGGCCCCGGGACAGGCTGCTTCCCCTGGGTCCCCGCAGGCCTGGACTGTGCCTCCCGCCGTTAAGGTTTGTGGAGTGCTCAGACCGTCCCAGATACCCAGCTGTACCCAGCCTTATCATGAGTTATAAAGGGGCCATTCATTGAACGAACGTGCCAGGCACTCATGTGCACTATCTCACTTAGTCTTTTCGATCACACTGCCAAGATGTCCTTGTTCTCTTTTGAAGCTAAGAATACCTCTGAGGGACTAACATGTGCAGTTACTGGTACAGACGGTACTGGGACTCGAACCCAGAGCTGTCTGTGTCTCAGGGCTGTGCTTTCAGTTATCACTCGTGGTCTTCCTTCTGGAGAGATGGCATTTATTTAGGAACAAAGCAGGACTCTCTGCCAATGGTGATAGAGAAGGCAAAGACCTACGAAACGACTGAACCCATAAAAATTTAACCTAAGTTCACCAAGTGGCTTTATGTCTGTTCTGACAGACCAGGAGAAAACTGATTTCAGCAGGATCTAGGTTGGAGCAACCACACAAATAAAATGCCAATGTCATTCCTTTGCCCTTAAAATAGGACCATAACTTTCATAATCGAGCTGCCCAGGCTTCTCTCTAAATAAACCCTCCTCCAGCTTGACAGGTTGCTCCTGACCACAGAGGAACAGAATGGGAGCAGTGATGGCTCACCCCCATCCTCAGGTGGGCCCCTCTTGGCTGCGCTGAATGGAAGAACTTGACTAAAGTCAGCGAGGTGGCAAGTTTCTACCAAGATTTCCACCTCTGCGCTGTCATGGGGTGACACCAGGCCTCTTACAGGGTGCCTCCTCCCCATTTCCACCCTAGTTTTTTGTGGCCAGGTTTGAGTATATTAAAATTGAGTGATTTTCATGATTGACTTAAAGGTGCCAGCAGTGTCAGGAAGAGCATGTAGATTCCTCCTCCCTAATGAAGTCCGAGGCTTCATCACCCAGATTGAATTAGTGTAAGTCGTGCTCTAGAGAGAGGATGGGTGACCCAGAGAGGCGTAACAACCGAGAACGCTGGGCCCCTCCTCCATCACACCCAGGATGTCCTAGGGGGCAGACGACAAGCCTGCCTCACTGTATCTGGAGGTGAAACCTGGGGGACAGGACAAGGTGGCCAGATGTCCCTACTTCTAAGAACCAGTCAGTGCTGATCTCCACAAACCCTCTTCTGGGCAGACGGCACATCTGAGGACAAGCCTTTGAGGAGACTGAGTTGATGCAGGTTGCGTTTGCCGGTGGGCCCCACGTGACTGAGGGGTGCAGATCCGTGCCCTCTCCAGGGAAGCTCCGTTAGCCTCGTCCTGGCGGTTAGTCATTCAGGCCATCAGACGCAAGTCGTATTTTTGAAGTACATATTATTTCTTGTCCTCATTTACAAATGAGGAAACTGAAGTTCAGAGAAGTTAAGTAAGTCACAGAGCTGGGATCCTACACCAACACCAAAGCTCTTTGCACAAGGATGAAAAAGTGAAAGCAAACTTCTACCTCAAACTGTGAGCGTGAACTACATTCTTCTGGCTGTTGGCAGATGTGGAGTGGAGTCGGTGGTGCCCGCCTGTGCCGTCAAGACCTGAGTTTTTATTCCACCTCCCAGGTGTATTAATGGCTCAGTCCTGTGGGTACTGATTTCATCAGAGGGGGAGGGGACAGGTGACTGTTGTCTGTGTCACTTCTCTCCGCGTCCTCCTTTCCTCCTCTTTTTGTCACTTCACTTGTCCTTTCGCACACAGATCCCAAGGGCAGGCTCACAATGAGAATGACCCGTTAGATAGAAGGAACTGGGGAAGTTCCAGAGAAGGTGTCAGCGTGGCTGCCTGTCTGTGCTTTCACGCTGGTACAGACAGGCGGTTTCTCGCTGTAAGTCCCACTCCTCATGTGCCAGGCAAGAGGCAGACATTCCGGCCACCCTCCGCCCCTGTGGACGCCCTTCATCGGGAGCTGGCGCAAGGACGCAGTTTGGAGAAGTGCTCTCTTCATGTGAGAGACTGGATTGGGGTGGGTCCAGGTGCTATTATTACTCGTTGGAATGGCTGGCAGCGGATCCGGGTTTATTCCCAGTTCGCTCCCTGTTCCAGATCAACCGTTCTGGTCAGGACAGGATGTTCCCTCTAACGCCAGCACCTGCCTCCACCGGGAGGCCAGCCCGAGGGGTCTGGATGGTGCAAATGGGCAGTGCCACGCCATAACCTGGCATCAGCACCCAGCTCGTGGGGGGAACCCTCCTCCCTTGGCTCTGGTCAGAGTCACTGGGTGATTCCCACAATCTCTAACCATCGCAGCCCCATCGTCCCCTTCTGCCACTTTCTTTTCACCCTGGTCCCCGCAGGGACCACTCAGATCCCCTTTTACCTGGTCCCCTAACCGGAGTGACATCTCCCTTTCTGCCCCAGCTTCCCACCCTTCCCTTCCTAACTAACAACATTTAAATCCATCAACATCAGGAAAAAAGAGTAGCATGTCAGGTTTTTATAAAAAACAGATTTTTAATTAAGTTCCACAAACTCAGCTAATCAGTAGCAGCTATCATATTAATGGCACAACCACAGCAGGTATCGGGTGCCCCCTGAGCACAGCCTAAGAGGAACCTCATCGACCCTCACTTCACAGCGAGGAGTCGGAAACACGGAGAAGTGAAGGGCCCGGCCAGGTCACAGGGTACTGACGGCAGAGCCAGACCCTGGGCCTGAGCGGTGGGCCCCGAGCCGGTGGCGCTGTGGGATGGCGCAGGCGCCCTTTGCCCTGCCACTGCCCACGGGGGTCAACGGGACAGAAAGCAGAGAGGCCCTTCCCTGCCCACCCTGCTGCCTCCCTTCCTACTCTTTACCCAAGCGTCCTCAATCCTCTGCAGGCAGACCCTGTTTCCCCCGCCCCCCACCTGTCTCCTCCCAGCCTCTCCTGTCTCTCGGGGCACTGGAAGCACCTTCCCCACTCGCCCCATTGGCCCTCCCCTCCCGTTTTTTTGTTTTGTTTTGTTTTTTAATATATTTTATTGATTTTTTTACAGAGAGGAAGGGAGAGGGATAGAGAGTTAGAAACATCGATGAAAGAGAAACATCGATCACTGCCCCCTGCACACTCCCTACTGGGTATGTGCCCGCAACCAAGGTACATGCCCTTGACCGGAATCGAACCTGGGACCCTTGAGTCCGCAGGCCGACGCTCTATCCACTGAGCCAAACCAGTTAGGGCTCCCCTCCCGTTTTTGCCCACATACGTGCTTCCTCCACTGCAGCCACCCTGCCCCTCTGCCCGCCTCACTGTCCCACACACTCATCTGGTAAGCATGTCTGCAGGCCTGTTCTGTGAGTATCAACAAGGTAAGGCCCCACCCTCAGGCCTCTGCCTTTGGAAACCCCGGTTCAGGACTTGCTTGAATGGAAAGCCTCCTGGTGCCCACCCTCCGTCCGAGGCAGGCCCTCCCCCACCTCTCCCAGCCATTCCCCACCCAGGTCCCCGCCTGCCCCACCCGCGTCCCTGTCCACCTGCCAGGTTGGCACTTGTGTGCAGCGCTGGCGCTCAGGTGTAAACCACCACCCAGCACCGCTGACAGGCACGGGGAGGTCCAGCCCCGCGGCTTCGCAGTATCTCCTCTCGGGTTATTTTTAAACAGCTTCTCGCTGTGCCCAGGGTTGAATGACATGGTGCTTGCATCCAAGTGTCTGCATCATGACACACCCTGAGGAAAGGACAGTAATAAAAATACACTAATTGGACATGTTTGTAAAACATTCCCTGGGCACAGATGCTCACACCTGTAACCCTGACTCTAAGAGACTTTTAGGGGAAAACTTTTCTTAAGGCTCACACAGCCCTGCAGAGGCTTCACTGTTCCGGAGAGCCCGCCAGCCAGGCCCCACTCGTGTGCCTCACGCCCGTGCTGGCCCTGACTCCACGGCACCATCTCAGCTATGGCCCAGACAACCCTCCTGCACGCACACCTGACCAGCATTCTGCCACAACGTCCTGGCCACCTGAACACACCCTGACAGGGCAGGTTCTCACCTGAGGCCCCTGCCACAAAGCAAGCTCCCCTGAGAGGGCATCAGCCGTCAACCAGCTCTCGGTGCCCCGCCCCAAACTGGAAAAGACCTGGTCCTCGTGGAGCTCACTGCCCCCCGGGAGGGAACACGACCTACAGCTTGTGCTGCACCCTCTCCCGTCTTAGCTCAGCAGAACCTCAAGCCTGGTGTCTCCTGATGGTGACCGGGGACCAGGAGGCCTCTTTGTTGGTTCAGGCACATAGGGCTGGTGATGCCGTTCCCCTTGGCCAGTTGCTTCTTATCTTTTCTTCAGCTAAGCTTTCCTGGGGGAGCCCATCATATTCATTCATTCATTCTCATCCTCCCTCTCTCTACCCCCTCCCCTCTCTCTCCTTCTCTCCTTCCCTCCCTCTGTAACAGCTTTTTGAGATATAATTCACATATCATAAAACCCATCCTTTTAAAGTGTGCTTATTCACAGAGTCATGCAGCCATCAGCACTATCTAATTTTAGGACATTTTTATCGTGTTCTGTTGGCTGTCACTCCCCATCTCCCCTTCCCCACAGCTCCTGGCGACTGGGAGCTTTTTGTCTCAATGGATCTGCCCATCCTGGATATTTTATATACATGAAATCATACAACACGTGATCTTCTGTAACTGGCTCCTTTTAGCATAACGTTTTCCAAGGCTGTAGCATGTGTCAGTACTTCATTCCTTTTTACTGCTGACTATTATTCCCTTGTAGGGATGTGCCGCATGTTGTTTAATCATTTATCAGTTGATGGATATTTGAGTTGTTTCCCTGTTCTGGCAGTTATGAATATTTAATCCTGCTATAAACATTCATGTCCAAGTTTCTGTGTGAATATACGTTTTCCATTCTCTTGGGTGCATACTTAGGAGTGGAATTGCTGGGTCATAAGGTAACTCTATGTTTAACAATTTGAAGAACTTCCCATCTGATTTCCAAAGTGACTGCGCCATGTCACAATCCCCTCGGCAGTGTGTGAGGGCTTGCCATTCTCATTGGACGTTCACCACAGCCTTCTAAGATTGGTATCATTATAACCTACAACTTACAGTTCAGGGCACGGAGGCTCAGGGAAGGTAAGTAACTTGCCTTTGACTTCCAAATGCCATGCTCTTCCCTCTGTGCCCTCCTGCTGAGGAGCAGCCCTGCATCACCCAGGCACCACCGCTTCTCACCCTTCCGCCTCCGCGCCTGCACCTCCCTGATGAGAAGTCTTCCTGTGTTGCAGGATGTGTCCGGAAATGCTGCGTTTCTGGCCTTCACTCCTTTTGGATTTGTTGTTCTTCAAGGAAACAAGAGGGTCCACTTCATTAAATGGTGAATATCTTCTTTTCCGAGACAGGCTGTTTAGCCTTCACCTGCTGGGGAGGCTGTGGTTCCCGTGTCCTTTGTCTGTGATCGGGCAGTTCAGGTTCTGAGCCCCTCCAAAGCCTGGCATCCATAGTGCTGCTGGAGGCAGCGGTCTCTCCCTGGGGACCCTGCTCGCCCAGAGGGGTGTTGCTGAGAGCCAACAGCCTCGCCAGAGGAGGAACGGGTGTGCAGGGTTGGTTTCTGGGAACGATGAGAGGCCTGGGGCTGGAGCCACTGTTAGAGAAGCCGAGTCCCCATGAGAACCGAGACCTTGGGACTATTCCCTGCTGGGGGCCATGGCGTCTGCACGGATGCCTACTCCCTCAGCCGCTCTCCTAGCAAAGGAGGGGCTCGCAGTGACCCCTGGGCAGATAGGAGTTACCCTGTTGCTCTGGCAAACACCCTCCTCAGGCCAACCCCACTTGTGGGCACTGCCTGCCCCTCTTGAGGGGTTAGGCGTCCTCAGCCTCCAAGAGTCACAGCCCCCTTTTTCTCCCCTCTCCCCCTCCCTCGCCCCATTTCTAGCAGGCAGGAGACACTGCCTTGGCTGAAGCCACTCTGAGCTGCCACTTCCTACCTGTCTGTCTGGGGTCTGTTCTGCCGCGTGCGTGGCTCTGGGAGCCAGCGCAGTGCAGACTCTGGCTTGTTGATGGACGTTGGGCCTCCGAGATACCCTTTTCCTGGTCCGTGCAAACATCTCTCGCCTCATCAAAACATGTTGCCTGTTCTACTAAGCCCCTGTGATTCCTGTACCTCCTTGGGCCTTAGACGGCCACCTCTAAGCTGGCAGCTCCTCCCAGGGGCTTGGGCAGGTGGCTGTCCTCGCCCAGCAGGAGAGCCTGCTCCTGTCTTGTTTCCTTTGCCGTCTCCAGAAGAGCTCATGGGGACTGAGGACACAGCGGCTTCCTGACGAGCTTTCCGCTGGGGGAACTGCAGGGCATCCGTCCTCCTGTGTCCCCTTCAGCTCCCGCACTGACCTCACAGACACCACTTTCCACCCTGTTGCTCTTGTGAAGCCTGGCCATGAGGATCGGCCGAGTGCTAGTGAAAGTCCTCAGACACCAGCCCCAGCTGGCCCACCCTCTGTGCTCTTTGGGTGAAGATGGTGAGGGTTTGCGGTCCAACAAAGTACTTTTCAGAAACAAAAAGACCAGGATCAGGCCGCCATTCTCCCTCCCCGTGAGGAGCACCTGCTGCCTGGATACAGCTGGGTGGTCTGGTGCCCCTTAGCGAGCCCAGATCCTGGGCCACACTCTGACCAAGGTCGCTGCCTCATGAGGTAGGACACCCCTGTTATAGGGACCTGCAGTCCCTAACGTGTCCCTACCCGTCCAGAGGCCCTGATGGTCACCTGGTTCTCCCAGACCCTTTTACCCTCAGTCTGCAGAAAGTCTCCTCTCCATGAGGTCTCAGCTCTAATAGATGTAAACCCAACCTCACTTCCAATAGAAATCTCTTCCTCTCCTGTCGTTCTTGTTGAAGCCTAGATGATCTGTGTGCTTGTTTATATATTAACTGATAATTATTGTCTATGTGAGAGATTGATGGGTTGGAAGGGAATCAAACAGGGAAGGAATATGCTGTGTCCTGTATTAGCGCAGAATCACCAGCTCTTGTCCTGACCCAGCCATGATTTCCAGGGAACAAGTGGCCTTTGGCCCCTCAGCTTCGTCCAGTAGTAACCTGGGTACATGGCTCTCACTACCTTGTCTAGATACCGAGGAAATCTCCCTGAACACTGCAAAGTGGAAGGAGCTAAGTGCAGGCACGTGTGCCTGGCAAGACCTCCATGGGGGTCTCAGTGGGTATAACAAGGACTCTGCCCCCAGTGAGGCTGGAGGGCCTTTGGCTCCAGAGGGTAGCCGTGTCCGGCTAATGGAAGGAAGGGACACATGGCCAACACCGAGGCCTCGTTCTCTGGCTCTCGGGGACAGCCTCCCGTGACCCCGGTCATTTTTTCCTTTCGTAAATGTAACCAAGGCTGCAAGCAGTATGTGGAGGTGAGGTCTAAGCCGTGCCCTGTACAGTAACCATGTCACTTCTTCTGATTTGTGTCTGTCCCACGGGTGACGTACCCCAGTATCCTGTTTGCCTCTTTTACTGCAGCCATTCACTGGGCTGGTGGCTTCAAGGATTTTTCTACAAAACCCCCTAAGCCCCTTTCCTGGTCAGTACGCTGCATGACTGTTCATGTAATCTGTTCTCTCTTTGGTATGTTGTCCCGCCCCCTCCCTGAGATCGTTTGACATTTGTCTGCACTCAACTGCATTTTCCATCCAGTGGCACGGTCACCCGAAAGACTCAACCCCCTCAGAACCTGGTTGCGTTGTTTTCCATTACTTGCTGTATCTTGAACTTTGGCCTCATCAGCTGCTGTGGCATCTTATGTTTGATAGTCCCATCTAGATAATGCACCTGTGTTATGGACCAAACCCTAAAACGGCCCAGCACCATTCTACCGAGACTCACTTCCCATGCCAGTGCCCCCATTCCCAGCCACTGTTGGTGAGCCTGAAATCCTCCTGTCACCCTATTAGAGTTTGACCAGAAAACTGTGGACTGAACTATTTCAACAACTGTTCTCTAAGGCCACTGCGCTGCTGTCTTGTTTTAGTTCTGATTTTGGCTAAAACTGTGTCTGTGCCTGGAGCCCCTTCCAGTTGGGGTGGGCTGTGCATCTGCAAGACGTGACTGTGAACGGGCAGCCCACAGCGAGGTGACTGCTGCTGTCTTTGTGCTTCTAGGAATGAGGTGACCAAGCTGAAATTTGAAGGGAAGACTTTCTATTTATACGTAAGTCAGAAAGAGGTGAGTGCCGGCTTCCTTCTTTCCAGGGAGGCTGGGGTGCTAGGTTCCTGATAGCCAGGGCTGAACCAGAGTGCTCCGTCCAGGCAGAGCTAAGCCCCCAGCATGCTGAGCCAAGACCAAGGGCCAGGCATGGAGGGGAGGGAGGGAGAGGAGGCGAGGCCCTGGAACACAGGGCTTCCTCAGGGATGCTGACAACGCCCAGGGGTTCCATGCCTCCGGGAAATGCAAAATAGAATTCTTTTGCTTCCATATGAAAATTCCAAGATAATAAATACAAAAGAAGAAGAAAAGGACCATTTTTAGATGAGTGCCACCTTCTCTGGGGAGGGCTTTCTTGGTTCAGTGTGTGCCAGCTGAGACTTTCTCACTGGCCCTGCCGGGTGTGAACTTACACAACTGAGCTCTGCCCAGGGGTCCCCAGGCCTTCTCTTCCAACGAGCCAGCGGCCAGGCAGCCCCTCTCATCTGCAGCCTGGGAGCGTCATGGGAGCCCTCAGACAGCTCGGCGGGGCTCAGGGTCCTGGTCTACGTCACCCTTCACCTCTCCACCCCCACTCAGCTGTTTCTATGTGGGGTTTTTTGTAGGAAAAGAAAATTATTCTCACATATTTTGCTCCAACTCCAGAAGCCTGCAAGCACCTCTGGAAATGCGGAATTGAGAACCAAGCCTTCTACAAGTGAGTAGACAACACGTGGCATGGGACCGTCATTATCAGAGCCAGTGCGGGGAACGCTGCTTTCAGAGGGATGATGGACAGGACGCGTTCAGAAATGAGACGTGAGGTGACAAGGCTAGCTTCCCTATAAAACTCAGACCCCTCTTGGGGTGCCTGGGTGTACCCCCTGGAGGGACAGAGCTGAGATCTGGAAATGTGTTTCAGTAGAGTTGCCTAAGTTGTGATGTCCTTGGACAGCCCTCTGTGTTAAAGCACTTCTAGGTTTTCAGAGTAAAGCTTGGACCAGGAGAAGCCCATGGGTGCCTGACTCAAATCACACTGGCCCCCTGGAGCCGGTCGGAGCCCTAAGACAGCTCAGAATACAATAGCTCCATGGAGCAGGCTCAGCCCAGAGCAGTTCCCTAAGCCTTACAGAGATCCTGGGCCCACTCCCCAGTGAGAGACCTGGTGCTAAGCTGGCAGGGATTCTAGCCCTTCCTGGAGTGTCAGTGCCAGAGGTGTGGCCAGGTGCCCAGGAGCCTGGGATGGGGTAGCTGGAGGGGGGCAAGGACTTGTCTGGTTCTGAGAAGCCCACTTTGCTTACCAAAGAATTTTGTAAAGTATTTGAGGGGTTTGTGCTTAGTTTTCTTTTCTTAAAAGAATATATTTTTATTGTTTTCAGAGAGGAAGGGAGAGAGAGATAGAAACATCAGTGATGAGAATCATTGATCGGCTGCCTCCTGCACGCCCCCTATTAGGGATCAAGCCCACAACCCGAGCATGTGCCCCAACCGGGAATCTAACCGTGACCTCCTGGTTCACAGGTAAACTCTCAACCACTGAGCCACCAGGGCCGGGCTGTGCTTAGTTTTCTTTAAGAAAGTGGGCGTAAAGGTATTAGGGAGCAAAGAAATAGCCCATTGAGAAACTAGAGTGATGCCAGATAGGGTATGTTTCACCAAAACCCTTGGTCTTGTTTTGAAAATAGAATGCAGTGATTTTTGCTTTCATAAGCTGTATCTTAATCAGGACAACATAAGACAAAAGGGTGTAGTATATGTTCTGCTGGATAGGCCATTGTTCTCCCTCCAGTAACCGGAGGAGAGAGCAGAATTGCTCTAGGCTTTGGGGGCAGAGTGGGGGACGGTAGAGGGTGGGGTATCATCCTTCTTCCCAGTGAGCAGACTCTGCTACCTACTGGCTACTATGGGATGCTGGCCAGCAGAACTGGTCTCCTCCCTGTTACTGTGACCACAGCCCCAGACGTCGTTTCTTGGGCAGGCTTTCTGAACTGCTTAACAATTTCTGTGCATTTGATAACAGAATCAGGGATGAGCTGAATGGGTGGCCTGAATTCTAACCTGAGTTGTCTTTATTCTTCTCATCGAAGAGAAGACACTTGGAAAAGACTTTTGCATGGTCAAAATTTCCCTCCTGTTCAGTCCCTGGTACCCAAGGGAAAGCCAAGTAAACATTTCAGCACCATTTCTGGAGGCCTTTACTTTTCTATCTGTGTCATGGGAACAGAACTGTGCTTCTGAACCTGGGACCAAACTCGGTTTCTGAGTCTTTCCATTAATAGGCCTCCAGACCTCGTTAGCCCTGCCAACACCCACAGTGGAAACCAAGGTCGTCCTTACCTGTTTTCCATTAACTACTCAGTGTTCTAATTAGTGTGAGAAGTCAGATCCCCAGATAGGCCAAGTTTCTAGCAGCGGCTACTTGGGCCTCTGAGCATCTCTCATTCGCAGATTCCTGCCAGTGCCCGGTGCTAGGAAGGGAGCCAGGTTGGACTCAAGAATGTGCTCGGGCAGGAGGGCACTAGGCTGAGCCTCACAGAGTCCTGAGCGAGGTGGGGCGGGTGACTCTCAGGAACTGCTGTTCGTGGACTGTGGGGACAGCTCCCTAAATATTCACGGCCCCCTCCCGGCAGAGGCTTCAGACCTTGCTGGGTTCCTGGCGGATGAGCAGCAGGGGCACCCAGACGTGTTGTGGCTGAGTTGGGTCTTGGGAGACTTCACTCTGGGCAGCTGTGCCTACACTTCCTTTTCTAAGTGGGATCAGAGAAGTCACCCAAAAGGACGTTTTACAGTGCCCGTGGCCTTCCCGCGTCTCCACATCAGCTATTTCTACAGCCTTGAAAGGGAGGTTAATGGGCATGGGGATGAGGTTCCAAGTTAAATAAGTGATGGAACTTTTATTGAAGTTAAGCTAGCTTCTCCATTTCAGGACTTCTTGGAGTCTTTAATGTGATAATACACGTTAGGGCTCTCCAAGAAGGAGATGAAATAGGAAGGCACTTACCTAGACATGAACGTGAATCACCAAATACTAGGACTGGAAAGGTCTCCTGAAGCCACATAGTCTCACCTCCATTAGTTTATAGGTAAGAAGACGGAGGCTAAAGAGGAAAAACTCTGCCTAACTGAGATCCAGTGGGTGGCATTCTATTATTCCCCCAGATTATCATCCCTAGCATTTATTCTCCCAGTCTCCCAGGTGAACCCCTCACTCTCCTGACACGAAAGTGGGGTTCAGCCCTAGTCAGTTTGCTCAATAGATAGAACATCAGCCCACGGACTGAAGGGTCCCCGGTTCGATTCTGGTCAAGGGCACACATCTCAGTTGCAGAGTCGATCCCCGGCCCTGGTCAGAGACATGTGGAAGGCAACCAATTGATATCTATCTCTCTCTCTCTCTCTCTCTCTCTCTCTCTCACACACACACACACACACACACATCAATGTTTCTCTCTCCCCCCCTTCCACTCTCTAAAAAAAAAAAAAAACTGGGAAAATATCCTCGGGTCCAGTTCCGCCGAAGTAATCGGAGAGCTTGGAGAGGAGCCCAGTCCTGGAACGCTGTCTCACTTCTTGCTGCTGCTTCATTATACTCCTTACAGTGGCCGAGTTGCAAAGGAAGTAATGGAGTCAAGCGCCCAGATCAAACGGGAGCCGCCGGAAATCCACAGGTAGGCTGCCAGGGGCTTCCCCTAAAAGCAGTTCCAGCTCAGGTCCCGGAACCTCGAAAAAGCCAGCAGCTGGAGTAATGTGAAGACTGGCCACATGGCTCCCAAAAGGGGAAGGAAAACAGGGCAGAAGCGGTGAAGAGACCCATCTCAGCTAAAGATGAATGGAGAGCGGGGAGACGGGCTAATGCAGACAGTACGTCAGATCCAGGAGCACCTTCCTGGGTAATTCTGTACTGTCCTCCCAGGTCCTGAAATTGGTCATACACCATGGAGGACATGTCCAAGCAGCAAGATTTCATTGGCTGTGGAATCAATTCATTACGAAAGCCAGGGATAGCCCCACACCCCAGTCACACCCCTCGTAAACTAGTTCTGAGGGACAAAAATGAAAAGAAAAAAAAAACTAGTTCTGAGAGCCATGCTTCATGCATACATTTCCAGGAGCCCATCTCCTAGAACCCGATCTGCCTTTACAACAGCAGCACAGTAATTCTTCCCATGTCTGTCTAAGGATTTCTCTTTTTCTGCAATATTTTTGGAACATCCTGGACAAGGAGGAATCATTCCTAAATGAGAATGAAAGATCCAAGACTCCAGAGATAGAGGGCTCTCTAAGATCAGCTGCCGGGACATCCTAGGCTTGCTTGTGGGGGTGAAGTTCTCTCTCAGTGGCCTAAACACTGGGAAGGGGTAGGCCAGAGGCCGTTTCCCAGTTCCGCCGAAGTAATCAGAGAGCTTGGAGAGGAGCCCAGTCCTGGAACGCTGTCTCACTTCTTGCTGCTGCTTCATTATACTCCTTACAGTGGCCGAGTTGCAAAGGAAGTAATGGAGTCAAGCGCCCAGATCAAACGGGAGCCGCCGGAAATCCACAGGTAGGCTGCCAGGGGCTTCCCCTAAAAGCAGTTCCAGCTCAGGTCCCGGAACCTCGAAAAAGCCAGCAGCTGGAGTAATGTGAAGACTGGCCACATGGCTCCCAAAAGGGGAAGGAAAACAGGGCAGAAGCGGTGAAGAGACCCATCTCAGCTAAAGATGAATGGAGAGCGGGGAGACGGGCTAATGCAGACAGTACGTCAGATCCAGGAGCACCTTCCTGGGTAATTCTGTACTGTCCTCCCAGGTCCTGAAATTGGTCATACACCATGGAGGACATGTCCAAGCAGCAAGATTTCATTGGCTGCGGAATCAATTCATTACGAAAGCCAGGGATAGCCCCTCACCCCAGTCACACCCCTCGTAAACTAGTTCTGAGAGACAAAAATGAAAAGAAAAAACTAGTTCTGAGAGCCATGCTTTGTGCATACATTTCCAGGAGCCCATCTCCTAGAACCCGATGAGACCCAGAGAGAATATGATTGGCCAAGAGAGCTAGGGTTTGTCAACCAGCCTGACCTCCGGGAATGGGAGCCCTTTACACAGAGCCCCCTGCCACCTCAGATGGGAATCAAGGGAGGCTGCCATATCCATTTTTGGGAGCACTGATTATCCAGGGGCACCATCCTGCTCAGAAACCAGTGGCACCATTGCCACACCAAAGGAAGGTTCTGGTGGGTCTGGGACATAGGGAGTCTCTCTGACTGGGATCCAAAGCGGGTAGTAAAGATTTTTTAAAAAACAAAATAAAACTTAAACGGCCAGACAATTGTAGTGGTCACTCCTCAACTCAGAGTCCTGACCACAGCTATCTGTGCACTAAGCTAACTGTTCTTTTCCTTTAACCTCAGAGCTGGGATGGTTCCCAGCCGCAGCTGTCCCTCCATAACCCATGGCCCAAGGCTGAGCAGCGTCCCCAGGACTCGGAGAAGAGCTGTTCACATCTCCATCATGGAAGGTAAGCATGAGCACTGGAGATGGAAGGTAAGCTGACCACAGATTTCTCCGAGTTGTGACTTCGACCAGTTCCACTCGGGGACCTTGAAGTGAATTTGCATTGGAGACAGCAGCAAGTTTCTCTGATGGTAGGGAGGAGGTTTCACCCAGCGGATGGGCACACAGGCGGGGTGTCAGGGGCAAGGGGATCCCCTCCAGCCCCGCTGAGCTGTAATCCAGGAGGGTTGTCGATCGGAGAGTATCTGGGGTAGACCTTTGGGAAACAAGGCATGTGGGCTCCACCAGGTTCCACGCAGTTCTGAAATTGCTTTCCATCCAGAGGCCTTTCACTTGTTTTCCAGATCTGACCAGTCTCCACAGCTTAAGTCAGGGGTCCTCAAACTTTTTAAACAGGGGGCCAGTTCGCTGTCCCTCAAACCGTTGGAGGGCCGGACTATAGTAAAAAAAAAAAAAAAAAAAACTATGAACAAATTCCTATGCACACTGCACATATCTTATTTTGAAGTAAAAAAAACAAAACGGGAACAAATACAGTATTTGTATTTGCATGTGGCCCGTGGGCCATAGTTTGAGGACCCCTGGCTTAAGTGATCAGAGTGGCCTGGGGCAGTTAACCAAAAATAAACACGCCTGGTTCTGAAGCATTCCAGTAACGGCCGCCACCTTTCCTTCAGTGGTAGAAGCCTGCCCTCTTGCCGTCTGAATTCTCTAACATTATCTTAGGAAACCCATATGCCCATCTCTCTCAGCCCTTCTCTCCCTTTGGAGTAGGTGGAGGTAGAGAGACAAAGTCTGTGTAGCTTCAGAACTAGATCCCCCAGCAGCCTGAGGTGACGCCGCTCCGTGTCTAGGTACTTAATACTGTCAGTGCCCTCCTGCCGTTGTCCCTGCCCAGTTGGCCCTGCAGGCTGGATACAGGTGTAAAGTTTTCATTTGGGATGATGACCGTTTGCAGGACCTCAGATCTCAAGCAGCAGGAAACAGCAGCAGGATTATTTCAAACCTTGTTTCTGTCTAGGAGGCTGGGGGAGGGAAGGCCCTTTGTCTTCTCTGAGCGAATGCTGCTTGTTAATGAAAACCAAGTTAGGAAGGCCGTCTCTCCCGGGGAGGATCTCGGGTTTGTGTCACTGACTGCATCACCGGCGTGTGGTTCTCTGGGGGCTGAGAACCCTGGCTGGGCAACCACCACCACGTGCCTTAATTATCTGAGAATCTTTGTTGTTCCATTTGTAAACAAGGGGCATCTTCCTGGCCATGGGTTGCAAGGACGCTGGTGTAGTGCCAAAGCCCATCTGGGCAGGCAGCCAGCCCAGTGCAGAGCCCTGGCCGGGAAGGCCAAGAGGAGATTTCATCAGAGTTCTGCCGCGGACTTTCTGGGGCAGGTTGTTTACCCTCTGAGCCTGTTGCCCCCACTGTAGAGAGGGGTGTGAATGTGGAAGGCGCCTTGTAAACTACCAAGGATAATCACTATGCAAGGGATGGAATTATTGAGGTCCGTCATCAGACACAGTGCCCTGAGCCTGTCCCCCTGTCAGGCTGAGCAGAACAGAGGGTGGCTCACACTGTCCCTCTTCTTTTGGGTGTTCCCCTCAAGAAAGTGGAATGACTTTCTCCTCTTTTGAGGAAATATAACTTTCTCCCCCTGTGTCCCCTCTTCCCATCCATCCTGAGGCTGAAGCCACCAGGTCCGCCCCAGCGGAGGATGGGACACAGCCCATTTCCAGCCGAACCACTTCCTCACACTTCAGAGCCACTCACCCAAAGCCCAATGTCTGTGCAGTTTCAAACCCTGAGTTTTCTGGACGGCCCCGATTCCCCTGCCCTCAGCACTGTTCCCTTCCCTCTCGTCTGTCACCCTCTGAGAGGTCTAGGGCCCTTATACGGGCCTCAGGGAACCAGCTACAGGCTGGGAAGCATGACTTTTTATGGCTCTAAGTGCTTCTGACTGAATCCAGTCCCCTGATAACATGGGCCTCTCGAGCTGCTCCTTCCCTGCAGCTCAGCCTGCTCTGCGGCTCACGGAGCTGACCTCCCTCCGGCACGGGAGGCGCGGCGAAGGGGCCGCCGTGGGCCGAGATCGGCACAAATCCCTTGTCCGTGGCTGGTTTTCCATCCTTTCCCTCTGTATCTCCCTGCCTGGCTGGTTTCCATGAAGAGGTCAGCTGGTTTCCACTGAAGAAGCATCTGCTTTCCTGGGCTACCATGGGGAAGAGTCTGATTAAGATTCACACCAGAGTCCGCGTGCAGCTCCGGTTGACTAACCACTGCCTTCGGCCCCTGAGTGTGCGCGTCCTGAGGATGGGGCCCCGGCTGCAGGGTAGGCTCCTGACCGCTGTGCCCCCCAGCCCCCGGGGAGCCACCTCTGGGCAAGGCAATCAGCTGGAGCACCTCCAAGGTAACCAGACAGTCCTCTGTTTTGCTGTGCCCCTCGCCCGATCCCGCCTGCAGCACCTGCCCCATCCCCCCCAGAATAACAGGTTTGGTGAAGGGGTGAGGTAGGTGGTGGTTTACACTGACACCTGAAGTTCTGTACAGGACTAACCTGACAGAGGGGTGATGCAGGTGAGGTCTGCTGAGGGAACAGGCGACTAACATTTACAGAGTAACTCTGTCCGTCAGACATTACTGGAAATGCATACAGATCCATTATCTTGTTTACTGAGAGCACCAACAATTCAGTATCATGTGGCTGCTGGTGTCCCTCTAATTCGTGCTTTCTGATGTCACAGACTTTGCCTCTCTCCTTCCCCGGCTTAGGGCTACACTGCAGGCAGGCTAAGCTCACACTGAAGTGGCTTCTGGTTGCTGAGCTGGTCAGACTTTGGAAGCTCTGGCAGTCAGAGCTGTCCTGGAGGGGGCAGCCCCATGAAAGGGTGTGAGATGCCCTGTGCAGGGGGAACTGAGGCTCCAGAGAAAAGGGAGCTGGCGGAGTGGCTGGGAAAGGAGCTGAGCCAACACCATGTGTAATCAGGGCCTGAAGGTTTCTGTTTCATCAGGGATCCCTTACCCACTGGCAGGTACATATTCCTCCACTGCGCGTGCACGTGGGGAAATCGGGGAGGAGAGCCAGGGAAGCAGAGACCAAAGGAGTGTCAGGAGCTCTGGAACGTTTCATCGGGGATCCCTTACCCCCTGGCAGGTACATATTCCTCCGGCTGCGCGTGCACGTGGGGAAATCGGGGAGGAGAGCCGGGGAAGCAGAGACCAAAGGAGTGTCAGGAGCTCTGGAACAGGGACAGACAGGCTGCAGAACAGTTTCTTGGACAGTTAGGACCTAAATCTAAGGGAGGTGCCGGCTGTTGACTTAATTCATCCTGCCCACTGTCCCACTCCCCGTAATCCAGCTACGTGATCATTAGCACCATGAAACAGAAGGGTGCTTGGCTTCTCTCCGTGCCTTTGCCATTAGCAACCAACCAGACTTTAGGTACGTTCTGTAACCTCTCACCCTCACTACTTCATGGAGTTGTTAAAAGATAATGAACGTGCTTTAAAAAGTGTAAACCACTGTACAAATTTAAGATTTTATCAGAGGAACAAACAAAATACGGCTAGGACCGTAAGGAGACTGTTGGCTGCTGAACTAGCCATGAACCAGAAAACTCCCCAAACAGCTGGTTACTGTAGGTCAAACCTTTCCCTGTCTGGGGCAGTCAGAGTCCATTTCAGAGCAACAGAAGGGGGCTGGCTTCTCTTGTCAGAGGCCACAAAGGCAGGGAGAGCCACTCTGACACCACCAAGATGGCCAGGGATGGAAAATACAGATGTTGAACCTGAAACAGGACGCCGTTCCCTCGGGGGCACTGTGATGTGAGCCTCTCGGCGACTCTGAGCCCATATCCTCTGGGCTGTTGGGTTGCGGGAGTAACTGGCTCCTGCTTTTCCCTAGCAGAGCATGAGCCCTGGAAAGAAATGCTCCATCCGGGAAAGTAGAGAGATAATGGGTAGTTTTAGGGGCCACAGACCCTTTCTCCTAAAATATGTAAGAGAATTTCCCCCTCACCCAAAGTTCGCTCTGCACTCCGGAGTGTCTAAAACAGGGACAGCCTGTTCTGGACCCAGATCATCCTAAGGTGAAAAGAGAGGAAGCTGGCCGGAGCTCCTCCCCTTCTCTATCAGCGAGCACTCGGGGAGAGCAGGTAGGGTTTTCATGTCCCACAGGGTCAGGACAGATAGAACTGGGGGGCTGAAGACACCGATAGCAATTGCAGAAAAGATGCCTCATGAGCTCAAGGAGCTGTACGCTGGGCTGTTCAAAGGACACTCAGCTCCAGAATCAGCATTAGATGCGGCCCAGGCAAAACAGTCTCATCCTCCCCGCTCCTGCCTCTCAAGGCCCTCAGCCCGAGAGGCATACCTGAGCTCCCTGAACCGTGGCCCCAGCTCTCAATCAGGGATAGTCTGCGATTCAGACTCTTTCCATTTGGGGCTAAAACCAGGCCCAGGACACCCAAGGCAGGAATGGCACAGTCTTTAACAAATGTGGCCAAAACTATAAACAAAAAGAAAAACAAGTGTGCGCTGGTACAGAAAGCCTACTCACGTTCCTTTTGCCTTCCCAGGCCTAGAGTCCCTGCGGGACAGTGCCCACTCCACCCCTGTGCGTTCCTCCTCTCACGGGGACACCTTCCTGCCTCACGTGAGAAGCAGCCGGGCAGACAGCAATGAGCGAGTCGCCGTGATTGCAGACGAGGCCTACAGCCCTGCAGACAGCATGCTGCCCACCCCTGTGGCCGAGCACAGCCTGGAGCTGATGCTGCTTTCCCGGCAGATCAATGGGGCCACCTGCAGCATCGAGGAGGAGAAGGAGTCTGAGGCCAGCACCCCCACTGCTGCAGATGTGGAGGCCCTGGGGGGAGAGCTGAGGGCCCTGTGTCAGGGGCATGGCAGGCCGGAGGAGGAACAGGTGAATAAGTTTGTTTTAAGTGTCCTCCGTTTGCTCCTTGTGACCATGGGACTCCTCTTTGTTTTGCTCCTCCTCCTGATCATCCTTACCGAGTCTGACCTTGACATTGCCTTTTTCCGAGATATCCGTCAGACCCCCGAGTTCGAACAATTCCACTATCAATACTTTTGTCCCCTCAGGCGATGGTTTGCCTGCAAAATCCGCTCAGTGGTCAGCCTGCTCATTGACACCTGAGAAGACATGACTCCTCCTAATAACTAGCCAGGTGGACCAAGAAGCCCGGCTACCCGTTCCCAGCAATGGGACCCATCGCGGAACCATCGGCACATGTACCAAATCCTCCTTTCATGACTCAAAGTCCACAGCCTAGGAGGGTGGTTTCCCAGAAGAAGAAGGGGATAGGCTCATGCCCTGTCTAAACAAACTGGGAAAGCTCATTCCCTTCAGCGGTTCTCTCAAGAAAGGCTCGGCGACTCTGTTTCTCATCCTCCCAACACGCAGGATAACTTTTGGCTTTGAATTTTGATTTTTCATAGATGTGTATTATTTTGAAAGTATTGAATAAAAATAATTTATTTTATTATTACTGATTATCACCGTAGTGTCACCTAGCAGATGGGACACTAGTTGAAGACGAGAGAGCTGTTGTCTTCTGTATTCTGCAGGAGCTTTTCTACTGGGTTCCAGTAGACTCGTCACTGCAGCCTCAGTGGGGCAGACCAGGGGTCTGGACAGTGGAGACGTCTAAGTTTTCTTGCCAGACAGAGCTTTTTAAAAAGTAAACATCCATGTAGAATGATTAAATGAAAAGTTGCTTCTTATGATGGTCTGAGTTGGATTTTCTTTTCCTTTTGTTTTTTTTTTTTCAAATCTGAGCAGAGTGGGCATCTGAAGGGACCACCGCTACAGCAGCAGCAAGCAGCAGGGGTGGGGTAAGTCTGTCCCCTTAGACTAGATCCTAGTGGGCGTCGCCATGAGCTTTGTATAATGAACTTTGACTTCTGTGATTTTTTTTTTTTTTGGAAGAACCTCAAGACTTTTCTAGTGCTCCAGAGGCGTTAGGTGAATTGAGTGGTACCAGACATAGGACTGTCAGAAATGTTGGACAAAATGTAGTTAACAGAAACCAGAGCTAAGATACCTGAGAGACTGTTGAGATTCAGAGAGCAGTGCTTATTTTGTACAACCCCCCGCAAAAAAAAAAAAAAAAAAAAAAAAAAAAAAGACTATTTCAATTTATATTTTAACAACAAAATGTTATTTTCTTATCAATTCATATTTTGTTTTTACTTTATGGATTAAGAAAATAGAGCCTGATGAACTAAACGATGCAAGACAGAAACTGATCCTGAGAACGAAAAGCTTCAGAAAATAGAATCCCAAGATCAACAAACAGCCTTGGAAGGACCAGGAAAGTAACCTCTTTAAATAGGAGGCCTAAGAGATGCCTGCGGGGAAAGGTGGACGTGGCAGAGGCCAACCTTTAGATGTAGAAGTACTGCCCCCTAGGGACCTCCTCTGCATCAGAAAAGTAAGTTGTAGGAAAGAGCACTTGCCGTCCTTGGCGAGGGAAGCGGTGGAAGCGCAGCACGAAAGGGTGAGCGTGGTGTCCGAGGCCCAAGCTCGGCAACTGTTATACACGCTCACACACAGGATCTTGTTTTCATCTCAGGGAGAGATTTCTAAGTCACCTGGGGTCTGCCGCATGGAGGAGGAGGAACCTGAGGCCAGCCGTGCCCCTGACACAGGGCCCTCAGCTCTCCCCCAAGGGCCTCCACATCTGTAGCAGATGGTCAGTGGACAATTCCTGGGACCCACACAACAATGGAGCAACTGCTGACACCCTACGATGTTGGGCAGCCCCAAATGCAGAACAGAACGAGTCACTTTTAGGTTTGCTCACCCCTAGTTGGTCCCCTGAGATGGCAGAACCATGTCCATGTATAGAGTGCAAACAGCCTTGGAATGAATGGGGTTTTTCTTTTTGGGGGAGGAGGGGGAGATGTGGAGGGGTATATAATTTTAAATGTCCGTTCATCTAGACCAAGGTTGGTAAGCTTCTTCAAGGTGCCAGATAGTAAATATTTTTTTATTTTGATGTTGTGGGCCATAGTCTACGGCAGTGATGGCGAACCTATGACACGCATGTCAGAGGTGACACGCGAACTCATATTTTTGGTTGATTTTTCTTTGTTAAATGGCATTTAAATATATAAAATAAATATCAAAAATATAAGTCTTTGTTTTACTATGGTTGCAAATATCAAAAAATTTCTATATGTGACACGGCACCAGAGTTAAGTTAGGGTTTTTCAAAATGCTGACACGCCGAGCTCAAAAGGTTCGCCATCACTGGTCTACGGCAACTATTGAACTCTGCCGTCGTAGCACAAAAACAGCCAAAGGTAATACATAAATGAAGGAACGTGGCTGTGTTCCAAGAAACCTTTTTATTTATAAAAAGAGAGTGAGCTGAATTTGGCCCACAAGCCATAATTTGCCAACCCTAATCTATACAATGAAACTGCCCCTTACCATGATGTTAGCAGAAAGAGGGTCGGCTCTGCGCCAGTTCCTGACATGTGCTAAAGACCCAGGGCCGTTTCCCAGGGGAGGCACGGGGGTTGCTTGTTTAAAGGGTGCTCGCACAACCAACCAGCAAAGAGATGTCTGGGGCCAAGATGTGCAAGACCAAGTACTGGAATGCTAAAACACAGCCAGAATCTAAGAATGGAAGAGGGCTTGTCTGATCATTTCCATACCAGCAACAATTTGAACAGAATTACAAACATCTATTTACCAAGTGACAAGACAAACTGAGGGAGATCCTAGTAAAGATTAGGGATCACTTAGAATCAACTAGCCACTGCCACTTACCATCTATACAGGAAAGGCTTTATTTAGTACAGAACTAAAGCGAAAAGAGTAGACCTGGAGATGAAAAGGCTGTCAGGAGATAGGGGGCTGGTTTTAACATGGATATCTACTGTCTTATGCAACATAGCAGATTACCTGTTAGTGTAGTGTTCCTACCTCAGTCTGTAGAATACGGTGTTTCTATGCAGTGAGTGATAGCCTCGACTCGGACCATTCATATCCACATTAAAGAAAGATGCAGTATCCCAGTTCCTGGTACATTACTTGTGTCTAGAGTTCTAACAGTACAATAGTCCATACCAATTCCAACAGCTGGATTTTTCTCTCTGAATAGAAACTTTCAGGTTCTTTTTTTCCAGGGCTTATCCCAGAAAATGCATATAGAAGAGTTTCCTTCAATTTGCTTTTCAAATAGTGCTTGAATAGCAAACCACCTTTGTTGGTGACTAGTCTTTTTTGGTATTGCCTCATCATTAAAAATTGTTCAAGTTTTTAACCTGCTTTTACTGTGTTCCACTATGTCTCCCATTTTCTCTTAATTAGTTTGATCCCACTGTAGAAAAAGCAATGGTTTCCATAGCTTCATCTATCAGAGGAAATAAAACTCTTACTAAAGAATAGTGTGCTGCATCTTTAAGCAGTAGAGGGTAAACTACCTGCAAATGTGAATTTCTTAGTTTCATTAAAAAAATATATAGTTGCTAACCTTTCGTGTGCCAAAAATTCTAAGTTACATTCTCCTTCAAAGCAATGTACTTTTTTCTACATATTCAGTATGTAGTTAGCATAAAATCATTGGTGCCATGAAAATTATTTTTAAACTTAAATAAATATTTAAATATCATAGAAGAGTGGACTCTTTTTTAACTTATATCATGTCTCACTTTATCCTCAAAGTTACCAACACATAGATAAAAGGGTACCAGTGGGATTTACAAAGCTGACTGCCACTTGCAATTGGAATCAAAATAATTATTTTGCTTATAGCCCTCTCCCCAAGGTAAATACTATTTAGGAACTTAGAAGCTATAAGTGTGAAATAATTTTAAAGGAGAGTTAGTTATACCTCTTTTACCTGATGAGGAAAACCAAGAAGTGATTTTCCCAAGGTTACACAACCTTAGAGCCAAATAAGAACCCAGATAGTCCAGCGTCTAGACCAGCTTCGAATAAAAGGACAGAAAACACTTCCTATGAAAGGAACAGAATGATATTCCCACTACAGTAACAAACCTCGTATTTACAACTTACAAAATATGTTCCTATGACATTATCTCACCTAATTATGTAATAATCATCACTCTGTGGCTAAAAAACTGGTAATGGTCTTCTAAATTCCATAAGGATAAAAGGTGAAATGAGGGTCCACTATGCCAGCTTATTATCTTCCTATTTTCAACTCTACCTCCAATCCTCCATTCTCCTGCAGATCATCCTCGTAAAGCACTGATGAAGTTAGGCCACTTAGTCTCCAACATTTCAGAGGTCCCCATTACCTACCTATAAAATAACACCTATGCCCCCTGTCCCCAGTCGAAGTTTATTTAAAAAAAAAAAGTCTTTGCTTAAAGTGACCTGAAGAATAAAAAGCATAAGAAAAAACTACCATAAGGACCAATGGATGTGGGTGTTTTCCCAGATCCTACAGATTTACAACAGCCACCCTATGCTCTACATATTCAGTATGTAGTTAGCATAAAATCATTGGTGCCATGAAAATTATTTTTAAACTTAAATAAATATTTAAATATCATAGAAGAGTGGACTCTTTTTTAACTTATATCATGTCTCACTTTATCCTCAAAGTTACCAACACATAGATAAAAGGGTACCAGTGGGATTTACAAAGCTGACTGCCACTTGCAATTGGAATCAAAATAATTATTTTGCTTATAGCCCTCTCCCCAAGGTAAATACTATTTAGGAACTTAGAAGCTATAAGTGTGAAATAATTTTAAAGGAGAGTTAGTTATACCTCTTTTACCTGATGAGGAAAACCAAGAAGTGATTTTCCCAAGGTTACACAACCTTAGAGCCAAATAAGAACCCAGATAGTCCAGCGTCTAGACCAGCTTCGAATAAAAGGACAGAAAACACTTCCTATGAAAGGAACAGAATGATATTCCCACTACAGTAACAAACCTCGTATTTACAACTTACAAAATATGTTCCTATGACATTATCTCACCTAATTATGTAATAATCATCACTCTGTGGCTAAAAAACTGGTAATGGTCTTCTAAATTCCATAAGGATAAAAGGTGAAATGAGGGTCCACTATGCCAGCTTATTATCTTCCTATTTTCAACTCTACCTCCAATCCTCCATTCTCCTGCAGATCATCCTCGTAAAGCACTGATGAAGTTAGGCCACTTAGTCTCCAACATTTCAGAGGTCCCCATTACCTACCTATAAAATAACACCTATGCCCCCTGTCCCCAGTCGAAGTTTATTTAAAAAAAAAAAGTCTTTGCTTAAAGTGACCTGAAGAATAAAAAGCATAAGAAAAAACTACCATAAGGACCAATGGATGTGGGTGTTTTCCCAGATCCTACAGATTTACAACAGCCACCCTATGCACACACCCTTTCAGGGCTCGAGAATCCACTCCCCCTGCTTAGGATTCCTCAGCATCACCAAGCCCCTCTGCGCCTGAGCACACTTCTGGTTTTAGTTCACGAACATGCTTCCTCTACACACTCCTACAACTTGCTGATCGAGCGGAGCAAACTGGCAAAAGTTACTTTAAAACTTTTCCTCTTGACCAGCTTCCATTTTAGGAAAAGATGCTTTAAAATGTTTTTTTCCTGCCCTAGCCAGTTTGGTTCAGTGGATAGAGCGTTGGCCTGTGGACTGAAGGGTCCTGGGTTTGATTCTGGTCAAGGGCACATGCCTGGGTGGCAGGCTCAGTCCCCAGTGGTGGGTGTGCAGGAGGCAGCCGATC